CTACTGGGGAGGCCTTCTGCTACCTATCCATTTGTTTCATCTTAAATTGAAGGCCCCTTCACGTAATGTCTTTTATACTTGCACCTTTTCCTAGTACTATTAATTCTGGACTAGAGAGCATAGCTCGTAATCCAGGGAATCAATTTCAAGATGAAGGAAAAAAACCTTTTTCTTGTTTTCTCTACATTGTATTGCACAGAAATACCAACGTTATTTCGTTATGCTAAAAATATGGGGTTTTTGATTCCTTCTGCATATATTCTATGCTGTAGTTCAAAAGAAAGAAAAATAAAACCCACAATGAATTCAACGGCTACAAGGTCAACGCACCAAACTAAGGTGTGGTGTGTAGACCTTGCCTACCTGCCAGGTGCCTACCCAGCCGCTCTCTCTCTCACCTTCCTCAACAGGACAAGGAGAGAAAATACAACAAAAAGCTCGTGGGTCAAGCTAAGGACAGGTAGATCGCTCACCAATTACTGTCACAGGCAAAACAGAATCAACTTGGGTAAATTAATTTAATTTATTGCCAGTTAAACAGAGTAGGGTAATTACAAATAAGAACAAACCAAAAACCATCTTCCCCCCACCCGTCTCCTTCCCAGCTCAGCTTCATTCCGAAGTCTTATACCCATATATCTTGATTTAAACCTCAGTTTGTTATGATGAGCATATATGTAGGTTCTGATTTGCCAAATTTAGTTAAGCTGTAGGACTACTTGTTTGAGCAGGTAACCTCTCACTTGCGAGAAGGATGCAAGAGGTATTCTCTGTATACCAGTGACTGAAAAGCTCTCAGAGTGTATTTGTTTTCCTCTGGTGAAGAGCAGCTTTGTTTATGACTCAGGGCTAAACTATTCTGGAAGACAGAAAGCAATACTTTGGAGCACACATTTGCAACACACTAGTCCTAACCTGGTGGCCTAGCACACGTGGCAAAGCTAGATGCTGAAGCAGGATAATCACAATGGTTTCACGTGCTTCTTAAAAATGCAGGCTCTTCAGAACAAGGCTTGCAATCCGTGACCTTGATTTTATTGGGAATAACGACATAGTGAAAAGGTGTAATACACCATCCTTGAGTATCCAAGGTGGTGTGCTAAGACCCTTGGATGCTCAAAATCTCACACTGTCATTACAATGTGGCTCTCCTAGTTGAGCCCTGTTTCTAACTTCTGATATACTCCATTCGAAGGCTAAGGGGTCTGCCAGATTGTCTTGTTGCCCTTGGGATACACTGAACTCCTGAACCCCAACATAGCTTCAGAAACAAACAATGTCCTTTCTGACATTCGCTTTCACCATGTAAAAATTCACATAAGCCCAAATGTTTTTAGTTTTAGCTGCATTTTCGATTTTATACACTCAGAAGAATTTTCTGCTGTGTAAAAAGTGAAAGAATGATAACTCCTAAATCCGGCACATACACACAGTGGCACAGGTTGCCTGGAGAAGCTGTGGCTGCCCACTACCTGGCAGTGTTCAAGGCCAGGCTGGACGGGGCTTTGAGCAGCCTGGTCTGGTGGAAGATGTCCCTGCCCATGGCAGGGGGGTTGGAACTAGGTGACATTTAAGGATCCTCCCAAACCAACCGATTCTATGATTCTACAATTCTATGCTTGCAGCATAAAGACCTATGTGTGAGCTGCTCTTGTAATATGCTTCATGCAACAAAATGTTTGCAGCCCATACGCCAACACAATATAAATACACAAAACTTGATGTAACTTGCAGGTATGGTGTTGTACAACTTCTCAAGAGACTTATGTATTCATTTATTTTCAAATGAAACATATGACTTTTATATTTATACACATTGACCTTATTATGTTCATTATTTTCACACAGCTATTTTTCACTCAGATTATGTACTAAGAGCTTTAAGTAGCACAAGCCCAAATTCTTAGCTTGAAACAATGTACGTGACAGAGATAATGTAATGAGCCACATTACAAGCAGGAGAAAGGAGCTGAGGAAGAAGAATAAGGGTCCCATCTGGCATGCCTTCCTGGAAGAAATTCACTTTACTGCTTTAATACATTATGAGCTTATTTGTTAAATGCGTAAAACAATGTAATATAAAATATATTTCTATGTCATGACAAAAATAAGCTTTATAGCATTATTATTACAGTGCATCAGAAGTATTTTGAATATGTATTCACTTCATCAGTACATACTCATGTAAGGTGCTGCAGCCTGAGCAGATTGATGTCTATGGACAAATCTTAGCCATTGAAATGCTGCAGGTCAGAGTCTTAGCTGGTGGACATCTGCTGATCAATACCCACTCAGAACCTGAACCTATGTATTTCTATTTATTTCCTATTAAATTATTATTATGGGTGTGGGTTTTGTTGTTGTTACAACATCATCATCACCATTACTATTGTTGTTGTTATTATTATTATTATATTCTATAGTGGTAACAGTTAGTTAGTAACTGTAACAAAATGAGGCTTTCATGTTCCCACCAAAGTACCAATAAATCCTCTCCCAAAGAACACACAATCCGTAGGGCAGGGCATAAACCCACAAATTACACATTCATTGGAATATATGCAGTTCCTAAGAATAATCTTCATTACTGACAATACTCTCAGCTACAGGAATAAATGCAAACAGGAACAACTTTACTGATATGTAAATGCCAGAGATAAAGAAACAAAATGCAGCATGAGAAACTGTAAAAAACAAATAATACAAAATGAAGTAACAGTTTTGTTCAGCATATATTAAAATGTACAAAGAGTTTTACAAGACACTGCAGCTAATTCACTAAAAAGATACATCAAAGAGCAGATTCTGCAGGACCAGACGAAATAGACCTGTGTTCTGCACCAGTGTGGTTTATTCCTTATCATTTAACTAAAAAGTGTTCATCCTTGTATGGTTTGCCTTCTATGAGTAATGCTTTCAGGATAAATGCAAAACAGACTTGCTCACATACTGGGAACATTATAACCTAAGAGATGCCATAAATACTATCACCGTCCTTGCTACTGTTCCCTTCAACACGAACGTTCACATTATTAAGCACCATGTGATGTATACTCTAGAATGGCCCTGAAATTCAGCTGAACACAGCAAAAAATGGGAGAGTATAGGACAAGGTGTAATGACAACAGAATAATAGTAATGGAAGCTATGAGATAATGTACAGGGGGTTATAAATCCATATCTTGAAATTCTCCTTCAATTCTCTTTTTTTAAGTAAGGTGCTATATCAGAGTAAGAGTTTAATCATTGGGGACAGAAATGTAAAATTCTAGTAGTCCTCTGTTTCACTCTGCTAGAATTACAGTTCACAATTATCCTAAGCTTGATACTCTAGTTAACAGAAGCTGCAAATACGAATTACCTCTCAAAGTCTGGATTTCAACATTTAGGTTTGAAAATGTTGCCTGCGATCTTTCATCAGACAGATCCTGGCTTCCATGTTTCATACAACAGGACTGAACGCATGATTGCGCCTGTTTTCAGAGAAACAACACCAGGTTTGCTTGTGTGTCCACTGGAGTATTTGGACGGGAACTGCCAAAGCCAAACAGTCTGGTAACTGAGTAGAATGTTGTTAATTCAACGTTAATGAAAATCACACAGGGCACATCTTGACAGAGCCCGAGCATCTGATTTTCAGCCCTTGAACTCCCAATTGCCAAACAGAACAATTCCAATTTACAATTTATGTTTATTCATAGACAGATTATAGCAATTCGTTTTACACTACATTTTTGGCAAGCTGAATCAGCTTTTTCTTCACTGGTTTACAGTGAACTAACTAGTCTACAATGAACTCAGGCTTTTCTAGTTTTCAGCGTACTCGCTTCAATGACTGCAGGGTAATTGCAGTCTTAGACTTTTCTCTCAGTATAGGATATAATTTTCCAGATTATTCTCCTAGAAGATTATTTAAACACTAAAGATTTTTATAATCCTTTCGTTTAAAAAAAGGCATTTAGTAAATGACCTGCTATAAGTAGCAATAAAATAGGAAACAAGATATTTATACATACTACACAATGATATTTACTCTCAGTTGTCTCCATAGCTAAAGTAAGTAAAGAAGCAGAATTATTTAATACTGATGAAATTATTCAAGTGTATTAACCACAAGTAAATATGAGAATGAGTTTTGTAACTAGTACTACAGTTACATAATACATCAGGTTTATGAAAAAGAACATTCTGTTGTCACCATTTATTGAAACTATAAAACCTGGTCTTGTTACATCAGATAGTCTATCTTCATATAAAGTGGATTTAATGCACTGGGCTAAAGTAAATTAGTATGCAAAATCAGTAATTTGAGTGAAATTTCCCTCTTTGAGCTCTCAATGCTGAGCTACTGATGCTTATCTTTAAAATATAAGCAGTATATATTTACAGTTTGAAAGACAAATGTATATTTGAATTTAATTTCAAGTACTGTCTTCCTCATTGCATCATTTGTTTGGATTTTTGATGCTAGATATACAGCTGTAACCTGCCTGAGTTTGGCTTCGATGCAGAGTTGCACAGGCAGCGGTGCTTCAGTTTTGTCGATTCTTTCTTGCACCAGAACCTTCTGTTTGTGCGCTTTTGCTGCAGTTTTCAAATCCCGGCCGCTATGCCTGCCAGCCTGATGGTACCTCACGGGCAGAGCTAGCCCCTCCACAGGCAGCGGTTCCTCTCGGGTTTACCAGCTGGGGCTGGGCTGGCGTTGCTTTAGCACACCAGGGCACAAGCAGACCAGAAGCAGCACTGGTTAGAGAATGATTTGGTGGACAATAGCATCCTCATGCATTATCATTATTTTGTGGCACGGGAAGATGAAATCCATGCTGTCCTAGCTACGCTGGCATACAGGGAGATATTTTAAGAAGCAGATTATTGAAAGCTTGGAGTCACAAGATAACAGGTTTTGGTTACCCACAGGTTCTATGTATATTTTAGTCTCTGTTGTAGCAAAAATCCAAGCTGTCAAACAGGGCTTAGTGTTTCCAAAGTAAAGGTAATACCTGCAGGTCTCGTATTTTTGTACGTGAATCCAGGTAATTCAGATTCATCATTGCTTCTGCACATCCTGATTCCTGCTTTTCTGAAGAGTGCTTTCCTTCCAATAATATTTCTTTCTTCCTTTTTTCTCTTTTCTTAATGCTCAGCATAAAGGCCAAAAGGCAGTGCACACACATGATACAATAAAGCTTCTGAAATATGTTGCCACACGTTCTCAGCCACTATCTAAATCCATTTTCTTTGACAGAATGTTGTTACAAGAAATGAATACATAAAGTATGGAAAGACATCAGTTTTTTTATAAAAAAACTGATTTAATCGGGGTTACAAAACACTTTTTACCATCAATTTATTACCAAAATGCTTGTAGGACCCCGTGCCTACATAGGACTTCATTGACATAAGGGACTACAGATACAGCAATTGTTTTGCATGACTCCTTTCAGATAGTCCCCAAGAAGTATGGCCTCACTCACAGTTTGACCAGAATAAAAATATGCTGAAATGAATTGTATTTTGAAGGAAGAATTCTAACAATTCTGTTATCTTTTTCCACAGGAACATGTGTAACGATGGCCATAAGGCGGTATCCAGTAGTTTGATGCTGAAGAGCTAAAGAAAAAAAATTTGAGGAGGAGGAAAAATGAAAACCATTAGTGAACTCATTTTGAAATATACGGAAGTAACTACTCTGCTTGTAAGTTTTTACAAAAGGCAAGAGACAAGCTTGTTTTGAAATGCTGGAGGTCCTGTGTTGCAGTAACCTGTGCCAGTCTGTATTTAGTTTACTGCTGCTAGGCAACAAGTCCCAAGTTGTCCACTCCATCCTCTGCTGCATGCTTTGGTTAATATTGATATTTGCTTCCAAAATCAGAGTCAGCTTGAAAGCTCTGGTGTTGCAGCCCTTGCATAAAGAGTCCCCCTGATGTTAAGAAGTGCCATACCCAGCGTCCACCGCTTGGCACACGGGATGAGTGGGATGTGTTTTTCATCACAGGCTTTAGTAAGTCTGCAAAGTGATCAAATGCCTGCATACTGTGCTAAAATGCTGAGGGTGAACATCCACTTTCTGAGGACTGACTGAAACGTTTTCCAGGTTCCATCTGCAGCTGTGCAGCTGCTTTTAGATCTCAGAAGCTGAACTGAACTCATCCAGCGAACGGATGAACCAGGCTGTTTTATCCACACTATGAAGAACACAAACTGAGGCACAGCTCCACTTAGTTCCTTCTTTTCATTTTTATCTTTCCAAAGTAAAGGGATAAAGGAACTAATGGAGTGAGGACTGGGATGGCCAGCTCCAAGTACAAATAAATCAGTGCTCTTGTTTTAAGGGTCCTAAGCTGCACCAAAACTTAGAAATTCTGGCTAAACAGAAACTGGACATTGAGGATGAGGCTTGACTGGAAAGGGAAGAGAAAAATCTGTAAGTGTTTTCCAGATATTCTGGACTGCTACACATTGATGCTGCTTCACCCCTTCAGTGGAATGGTACCAGGTTGAGCAGTGCAGCGTCTGGCCCTACCGTTCAGTTTGAACTTGGAAAAAGGAGGACTTGGTTTGCTCATTACTGAAAAACAAGTTTTCTCTGTGCTGAAGCACAGCAGTTGTTAACAGCTTACACTCTGTAGCAACTGTTGTCAAACAATAAAAAAATATTTCATCCAAACAAAATCAAAGAGAAGTTTCAGACAGCAAAGTGGAGTCATTCGCAGTGGAAACTGGCAAGGGTTCTGCAGCTAAAAGTTTTAATGAGAAGTCCAGGGAACCTTTCTGGCATGCTTGAACCCTGTTTTGTGATAGGCATCACACCAAAATGTAAGGAATTCTTTCTAAACTTAAATGTATACTCACCAATTATTCTTTCCTTCCAATTATTTCCTGGAGGAAAAAAAATAAAGCATACATTTTTGTATGTCTTGATTTAAACCTCAGTTTGTTATGATGAGCATATATGTAGGTTCTGATTTGCCAAATTTAGTTAAGCTGTAGGACTACTTGTTTGAGCAGGTAACCTCTCACTTGCGAGAAGGATGCAAGAGGTATTCTCTGTATACCAGTGACTGAAAAGCTCTCAGAGTGTATTTGTTTTCCTCTGGTGAAGAGCAGCTTTGTTTATGACTCAGGGCTAAACTATTCTGGAAGACAGAAAGCAATACTTTGGAGCACACATTTGCAACACACTAGTCCTAACCTGGTGGCTTTGATTTTATTTGGACTAATGACATAGTAACAAAGTATAACATACCACCCTTGAGTATCCAAGGTGGTGTTCTAAGACCCTTGGATGCTCAAAATCTCACACTGTCATTACAATGTGGCTCTCCAAGTTGAGCCTTGTTGTTTCTAACTTCTGATATACTCCATTCGAAGGCTAAGGGGTCTGCCAGATTGTCTTGTTGCCCTTGGGATACATTGAACTCCTGAACCCCGACACAGTTTCAGAAACAAACAATATCCTTTTGAGCTTCACTTTCACCACATAAAAATGCAGATAAGCCCAAATGTTTTCAGTCGTAGCAGCATTTTCGATTTTATAGACTCAGAAGAATTTTCTGCCGCATAAAACATGAAAGAATGGTAATTCATAAATCCAGTATGCACATACATGCTTTCAGCATGGAGGCCTATGTACGAGGCTGCGCTACAGATATAATTCAGATCTTCAAAACATGTAAATCTTTTTCTCCAGAAGGATTTAGAAGCTAATAGGTCTGTGCAAAACTGTGAAATAAAGCAATCTGAAATAGCAACATCAGCACCTTAAATCAACTCCTCAGACTGATTTAATACTCCTTTCTGAGACAGACTAAAAAATAAGCCAAAGGCAAAGCTCTGTCCTGAACCTAGCAGTGCGTTGGCTTAGTGGGGCCAAGCCATATCAATTCTGTCATCTCTGGCAGGTGGTGATGTGGCTAGCAGCATAGTTAGCTGTTTTTATTTTTTCCAGTCAAAAATAAAGTCTCGGTTTGGTGGCCTGGGATTGGACTTCAGTGCAAGGTTTGAAAGCACACCTCTGGATTCATAATAGGTTACTGTCCTTGCTCTGTCTCTGCATCTTCATGTTGTGGCATGATAGGTTTATCTTCCTTCTCTGATAACAAGTAGGTGTTACAACATTTATTGCATGTTATGAAAAGGCAGTTTTTCAAAATAAACAGAAAGTTTCTATGAATTCAAATCAGCAACAGGAACCGCCAAATCCTCCGTCAATAACTTCAGACCATGCCTTCTGTCTTTTGACATGAAAACAACAGAAGCAATTGCTATTTCCTCTTCTTAGTATAAAATTTCTAAATTCCTCTATTTATCACATGACACTGGAGTCACTTACCAAAACTTAGCTGTTTTGAAAGATGTGTCAAGACTGAAGAAAGGTGACACAGTAGCATCTTGGGACACAAGAACTGCGAAATTCAAATACGAAATCCTGTAACTGGCTGAAGGTTACATTCTGTCCCTGTATGCCCACATATTGCTCTTATAAGCATCAATAAGAGCTGTGGATGTACATCCAAGGATGGATTTTGGTCCTCAGATGTGACTCAGTAAAACATTGTGTGTTGAATAGAAAGAAAATCTGTACTTACAAACTAAAATTATCAGCAACAAAGTGGCAGACAATCCTCCCAGAAAATATCTGAGAACATAACAATACCCATAAAGGTTAGAAAAAGCAAGGCATGCATATTGAGTTAATAGAGGCGAAGCCTGGGTGGGAGGAGGGGAGAAGTTTCTTGCAGATGAACCCTGTCAACTCAGGTAGGTGAACTGCAATTTGAAGCTTTAAATTACTCAAGCTGTTGAGTATAATCTCCTAGAAATAAAGACCTCAGCATTCCCAGGGTGAGGGAAACACCCATATTGTTCACTTAGAAAGACACAAATCCCTTCTGATTCTTCTCAGCCTTTCAAAACCCCTGTCTGAAGACACTTGATAAAGTCATTTTCATATCTGCATACATATTTCTTGGTTTTGTTCATATTTATATGGCTCAGCTATTTCCCTGTATCCACTATCATGTGAAAATATATGTTCACAGTAAGATACATCTAACTTTGAAAATGTGACTCTTAATTTATGTTTTATTCACCAGCTGAAAAGGAATAAGCATTAATATCAGAAACAATAAATAAAAGAAATAAAAATTACCTTGTACATATCGTAATGATTAAACACATGATCAGTGCAACCATATGAGAAAGCACATTTTGCACTGTCCCGGACTCTGAAAGAAAAATCAGGAAAATAATTTTAATGAGTTTTCAGGAAAGTAAATGTATGACAGGAGGTGTTTGCAAAGACTACCTTCAGCCTGTGAGGCCAGTCCCTTCAGTTTCTTTTTAAGAGAATTTGCCTAGAGTGATTCAAAGTGGAGACCTCATTTTCATGCTCTGGGTGTCTCTCAGGAGTCTTTTTGCCCCACGACCATGGAGACACTATGCCCTTCACACTCTCAGAAAACAAGCCTTTCTGAATAATTGCCTGTTTCAGGTTTTGTTCCCATGCCCTTTCCTCCATTTTCCTCTTCACTCTTCTTTTTTCTTTTTTTTATTTTCTAGAATGCGAGCAGGGAGGAGTGAACAAGTAAATACCAATTTTAAGATTTTATTATTTTTAATCAGTCATTTAAAATGTATGTTCCAGAAAACAAATTCTTTTCTGCAAGGGGCATATCAACATTTTTAATGTAAGAATTTTCAGTTCACTCTGAAAATGGGTCGTGTCAGAATAAGAATGTAACATACTTGCATTGCTCAAAGTCTCTTCATTTCCATTTATCATAAACGGAGAGCAGGACTGTGAAGCACAAAATAGTTTTTCGGGCTGAAGAAATTCCTCGTCTTTGGTGAGAAAGGCTCCATTAGATGCTGGAGTCTGCCTTTGTGGCACACGGCTATTATATGCAGAAGAAAAATCTGAATCACCTATAAAAAGTGCATATGTAACTGAGACCACACAAAAGAAGAGCTTTGAGACTTCGTGTTAATGAATTTTATGGGGGGGAAAAAATAATTGCTTAATCAGAGGGAGGTTTCCAGGTTGTTAGAGGTAGGCAATTGGCAGGTTCAATGTATGCAGAAGAAAATACACAGAGTAGAGACAAAACTGCATAGAGTGTAACACAATGAAGTTATTAAAACAGCCAGGTGAAAGCAGACAGTGCCAGATACTAATGGCACCAGCATAAACATCACTGGTGATGACACTGGATTGAAATTCAGTCTAAAAATGCTTTTTTGACATGAATGTGTTTGTGGATTCTGTAAAACTTAATGCCAGGAGCTCAATTCACCACTTACAATTCTGTTATTCATCCTTTACCTACACATCTTGGCCTTCAAAATCTATAAAAGAAGATACCCAAGTCCCACAAAATACAGGCTGTAATGTTGTAGCTCAATTACTGGGTACCTGGTCAGGGCTTACCAATATCACTCTGAATGGCTTCTAGTTTACTGCATCCATCAGGCCAAGGATCATCGACACGGGAAGAATCCACATCGCTGAGGATGGTGCTGCTGAGCCACGAACTGGAGGCACCGAGGCTGAACAAGCTGCCAAGAGAGCGACGGATTTTCTTCCTCCGTCTGAATACGCTAGAAAGAAAAGACACATTGCCAAGGAATAGAGTTAATTATTCTCATTGAGCAGGGACAGAGCTCTAAAGCTTGCAGGACTGACATGAAAGAACCAGGTTCTCGGTGCTGTTCCTAGCTCAGCTCTTGACCCTGGGTATGTCACCAGGAATGACCGCTGCACACTGCAGTGGTGTCAGGGAATGTTTTAGCAGCATGGTGATGTATCATGCGTTGTGATACTGGATATTGTGATGCCAAATGATAGTACAGTTGTTGGGCTCTAATACTGCTCTGAGTGGTCTCATGCTTCCCGTGAGTTTCACCCTACTATATCCCATTTGGAGCACCCTGAATCCACTGTACTTCCACCTTTTTGAACTACATTTTGTATCTCTTCCTAAACTGACGTTCTGAAATCAAAAGAGATTCTTCCCAGAGTAAGAGTTCTAAGACCACATCTTTTTATTTTTTTATATATATATGAGCATATATACATACACACGCTTTTTTCTTATTCCTTGTGATAGTAGCACCTCATTGGCCAAAAGAGCTGTAGCTCTCCTTTTTCTTTATTGCACACAACTCCAATTACAGCAACAACTGTGTACTGAAGAATTTTTGGGTAGTAAGATGAGACATGACTGAAAATCAAGTTATTTCAATCACTGCACTTTCTAAATTAATCAATTGAGATGTTCCCATTAAGAAGCAATGCTGATCTTATGCCAAGTAAAGTGTAGACAGCCACACAGATGCCTCCAGACGAGCCCAGAGACCCAGAGATGTGGGGGCAATTGCCAACAATGCAAAATCTGTATATAGTTCACTCACCGAACCAAATTCTCTTTATATGTAACATTTGTCTGGGATGGTGTCAGCGTTATGTTGCCATCTTCATCTGAGAGAAAACTGTCTTCTGTCACAATGTAATAACCATTAGAAAGCAGTCGAGGGCTGCGGCGACACATGGAAAGGGAGCCTGGCAGAGGATTTGTGGAACAACACTCATAGGCAGGGTCATCATCCAAAAAGGCACAAGCATAACTGAAAAGGAGAAATGAAACCTTCTAATTTAGTGAATGTCTTGACAGTGCAAACCCATGATTTAATAACAAGGAATTTGCATTACCAGCTGATGGGGGCTGGTAATGACATAGATTTAAAATATGAGGATAATGATACTACTTTTGGACCTGGGAGGTTTCAGCCAGAGTGTGCCTCCATCACACTTCCCAGAGCTTCAGATTACAGGAGGGCTTCATGCCAGGGGGAGCGTTTCATGAATGCATGGAGCCAACTGAAAAGTGCGTGGTGTGTTTCTGTGGCAGAGTTCTTGGCCAAGGAGTCCTGCCAGATCTACACCTACCTGGAGCTGCTACAGGTGTTCCAGTATTTTCCTTCTCTGAGTTACTCTGCATGGCATAAGCCTGACTGCCTCTGAACCAGGCAGGATTTATTTGCTTTCCATAACCTAGCTATACTTAATCAACACTTAAGGGTACATAAATTCTCATTCTCACAAATCGTAGAATACCATGCAGCTACACCAACATGGGATAAAGTCTGCGCATGGTGATAACTTCATCCAGCATGAAATACAATTCACCTTGAGATGAAATACAGCATAGAAAAATATACTATGTAGTATTTAAAATAGAAGTGCGTAGTGACAGAGGTGAAAGAATCTAAATGTTGTAGACATTTTACTTAGCTGTAAAGCAAGTAAAATTGGATTTGTGGTGAGTCCTTTCTCCTCAACACTTTTAAATTCCAAGTGGCCATGCAGTGACATCCATGGAAAGGAAGGAAGATACTGGATTGATTCAGTGGCTGACACGGATTTCAGCAGCAGGTTTAACTGTCCCATATGGCACGTCACAGAGGGATACCATAATTTCAGTGGAGGGGAAAGCAAGTGGAACAGAGCTACTCCAAAACCTTGTAATTGCAAAGTCAGTGCTTCCAATCCCCATAGCAGTACTTCTGAACTTCAATTTAAAGAAGTAAATTAGTATCAGCACTACAATTCTAAGTGGCCAAAAGGGATTTTACAAAATCTGCAACAAAATAAAATTAAAATTAAAATTAATTGAGTATCATTTTCCTCAATACCTTGGAAAAATATGTTGTGAGAGGCTGCGTCTATGTTCTCCACTGAACATTGTTGAACCTGTGGAAGAAAAGGCCAGATAAGAAGGAGTCACTATCATATCCACTGACAGCTCAAACAGTTGACAGGTGTTCACTGACATGTACCTTGTGCATACCCAAAGGATCGTAAAAGAAGCCAAAAAAACTAAAGGGACGTAAGGGAGAGATTAAAGGAGATAAAACAGAGGAGAATGTGGGAAAGACATAGTGTTTACAGGAAACTCATCTAAACAAGGACAACACAGAATCGAAGCCAATCATAATCAGATACTTGTGCTCTGACCAGCTGACTATGTTGAGAGAAATAATTACAGACATAAATGCAATAGTTGCAGTAATTTTAATGGCATTTTCCCAGAAATCTGCTTCATGCCAAAAATAGTACCTGTACTGGCAATAGATACAGAGTAGAATGGAAGGGACATCACTACCATTACAATATATTTTTCAAATTGAAATTGCAAACATAGCCCAACAGGCATTGGGATAGCAACAGTGACAAAGATTTGACAATAATATTGTGGAAGGAGACTGAGGATATAGGATTTATCTGAATTACCATGGCTCAAGTCTGCAAAGTGCTGCCGGATGTTCAGCATCTGACAGAATTAATCTTACAAAATATGAGCAATGGCTATCCATAGGGAGAATTTACATCTGTTATTACATGGAAAGATAAAAGATTCGACCATTCTCTATATTACCTTGCTTCTCCTGTATCTTTCGAGCATCATGCTTACAACACTGTTAGTAAATGCCTGTCATTTACCTATGAGAGGAGATAAGTCTAAGAGAATTTTTTTTATGTTCAGTTATGAGCTGAGGCAAAGAAAACACATGAAGGTCAGTGTTTCCACTTTGGTAATCTTGTTTATCCTCATTTGGAGCTCAGTTGTCAGTCACAGCCTGGACGTGAAGGCTGCTTCTCCTACACTTTGAAAAAAATAACTTAACATTTCACTTTACCATGCGAAAATTATCCTCTAATCCTGGCAGAAACGACTTGAGGAGGAGACAACTGGAAGAAACTGGGTGGAGGCACAGAGAGATTGAGTATCATTGGTCAGATTGCTACACAGCAAGCTGTACAAAAAGTGAGAGCGGTGGTGTATTTCACAGACTGACAGGTTGTAGACCTATTCTTTTTTCATATACGATTCGCTTCTGAAATAATTTCTCTTATTTTAGGCAAAATCATGATTTTTAATTGTGCAAAAATATTATAGTCAAAAACCAAGAAATTCATCCAAACTCTAAAAGAAAATATAAGAAGAACTCGACAGGTGGTTTATAGTTCTGAACATAAATAAAACCTGCAAAATCCCAAATCCTATCAGTCAAACAAAATCCCACCCACAACAGATACTTTTAATCAAAAACTCTGATAAATGTGCACAAATTTACTTGCTCCTGGTGTCAATGCAACGTGTGATATTCCATACATCTTGAAAAGGATTGTTTCATACACACTGGGATAACAGGTATTAAAGATTATCTGTAAAAGAGTTTAAAAAGAAATAGAAGCATGTTTTATTTTGGTCTTGTTTGAAAATTAGGATGTGTAAGATAGTATCATCAATATATATCATGTTACTAGTTATAACATATTCTTGCTTAGACAAAAGTGATGGATTCTAGAGCAAATTTGTTTGAAAAGGGATGCAGAAGTATACCTCCGCATCAGTTTTACCTACTACGACTGTTTAATAATCTAAGAGTCAAACTTACCAGCAACTGAAACCCGTAACACAGTTGTATTGCAAGTGGTTTTCTCAGTTATGATAATATAAAGTAGCAAGCACTAAAATAGGACAGCTTTTAAGAAGAGTAGTTTGCATAAGGGTAGTGCTTTCGTTAGAAACTATTGACACATACTGACCAAATTGGCAGAAGAAACCACCGTCCTTCCGTTACTAATTTGAATTGTCTCATAAATGTGCAAGGTATGGCTCTGCAGGACTCCTGTTTATCTGCCACCCTCCGCAGAAGTAAAATTTACGGTAAAATAGAGTATATACCTATATTTATAACAGAAAGTGGGAAACATACATATGCAAATGTATTACTGGGGAGGCAATGACTTTCTCTCTTTCGAAGAACAGTTAATAAGCAGTTGTAATTTGCTTTCAAACTATTTTAAGTAATGATAATATCAAGTTTCTAACAGTCATAGAACAGGCAGTCCAACGGATTTTTTGCTACCCTTGATCATGAAAATTTTTGTCTCATGCATTAATGAAGAGGGTTCCTGAAAACTATAGTTCAGTCAATGCTGGAGAAAGCATGGAAACATCGTGTAGACAATGGTGCACAGTGTTCTGCTTTCATTTAATATTCAGTCCCATTTCTGGGCTACTAACAGCATGAGAAGCTATAGTAACAATATAAGCAAGCCAAAACAAAGCATCTCAACCAACGCTGCACAATGAAGCAGTAGTGTCGTGTCTGCAATCCACAAAACAAGAATCAATACAGAACCTTTAAACTACGACCTGAGAAAAGGCCAACAGCTTTAAGAAATGTCCCTAAAAGTGAACCTGAGGTGAACACGGCAATATTTTATGTCAAGAATTCAAATAAAAGTTTAAGGCAACAATCCCCCTTGAGTTTCAAAACACTCAGAAGCCCACATCATAACATAAGCATAAAGTCACTGCCCAAAACAGTCAGTTTTAATCACTTTTGCCCCCAAAAATAAAATTAATCTTTAAGCCAATGATGCCCTCAATGGGTAGCCAGCTATCCCCTGTCCATGTTTACATTCTAAACATTTACATCAGTATGTACCAAAATATAATGCTAACTATTAAAACAGCTGAAGCCCAGTCAACCAGTTTTACTCTGTTGTACCTACCAAACACAAGTGGCTACAAAGATAGTTTTATTTGCTCACACACATCAGTCATTTTTGAAAAGCAGTCTAGCCTTGTCTCACTGCAAGTAATGATAACAACATTCGCGAAAAAACAAAACTTCCTGAAGAGCAGTATAGAAATGAATCCAAAGCTTAGTTACTCCTCAGCTGATGAATATATTAAGAGACAAATATGTGTAAAATCTTCCAAACCTGGAAAATCCTTTTCACTATGAACACATGTATGCAAAAAAGTTTCAAATCATCAACACGAGAGCCTCCGGGACGTGAAGCGGAGGGTGCTCCTTCTGCAGCTCCCTGGCCGAGACCAGCCCTGGGTCTTCGGCGAGGCAGGTCGATCAAGTCCCCTGTTGCCTTTTGAAAACAGCCCGTGCAATCAGCGGCACGGAGGCAGAATGAGGTCACGCTTCCCGTAAAGCAGCCTCGCATCAGCAGCATTCTTTTTGAAGAGCAAACCGAAGATTAAGATTAGCCTGGTGAACGCTCTCGCAGGCTGTTGCGAAAGAGAAGATACACTATAAATAACATTTCGCTCCAATGATGATATGGAGAACAAAGACAGAACCTTTTCTCATAAAGAAAAGTGGCACGGATTTTTGTTTCAGCTTTACTGTTCTATCTCTCTTGCTCAGAAAACTTTAAAGGGGTGTATCCAAATCACTCCATTTGTAGAAATACTTGTGAGCCTGACAAGCTTTGATGTACAAAAGTGATCCAGGTACCACAAAATTCGTGTATAGTAAAAGGACATTTTGCAAAAACACTATTATATAGAAGGATTTGGTGAGAGTTCAGAGTTCTTTTAAGTTTCACAGTCAAAAACGTTATTGCAAATGCATACCATGCAATGTTAAGATAAACTTCTTTAAAGGAGAAGGGAATAAAGTCATTTGTACACATATACATTGTTCCACTCTATATGTTCCATACTACATAAGGTACCAATTCTTCACACCTTAAAGTATACAAAAATAAAGTCAAATCCACATAAGAGAAATGGAGCCGGAATAATATGTCCTGGCAATCAAAATGATTTGATTGTAGAACTATTGCACACAAAAGTAATATAAATCAGCTGCTCAAGACTGGAGAATTATCCAGCCTCAGGGAGAAAAACTTCATGTCCACAGAGATATAACACTCGTAGGTGTCTCTCCTGATGCCTCCTGTACCACTGCAAAAAGAACCCACAGATCTAGTAAAATATGATAAAATGTGACTGATGTGATTTAATGACAGGTTTTTTTCCCTGGGGAAGGAAAAATACCTCCCCTGATAACAACTGAACATAAAATTCTCAGCTCACAGAAAAGGAAACAAAAATCAGGATTAGGCAATTAGGAAGTTACAAAAGAGCTTCTCTTTGGGAGCTAAACTGAAATGAAAATTTAAAGGTCCTTTTGCTTAAATATGAAAACACAGGGGCATGTTTTTTCTTTGCATCACTTCTTTTAAGTTAGTGGAACTATGCCAATGAGGAAATTTAGTCCACCATTATTTCCATGGATGCATGGGCTTCATCACAGGATTGCCCAGGCCACCCTGTGTCTCTGCTGACAATGGACAGAAGCTCCCTATGGTCTTTAAAACTAGGTCACCTGCTGAAGAATTTCTACACATACATTAATTTACTTCTTGGGAGTAATTTTGTTTTCTTCTCATGTTCTTCTCAACGGGAAGCAGTTAATTCTAAGATTGTGCTGCTTTTTTGAAGGATGTTGGTGTTTCTTCTTTGTCTAAATAGTTAAAATACATTGCTTCTGTATCATATTTAGACATAGAGGTGTTTTCTTTTTTAATCACTGCCATTTATATTTGAAAATCACTGTTCCACAAGCTTTTGATGCATACACTTTGTGCATTAGCAAATATTTTATAGGAAGGTGCTAGCCTAGTTTATACACACACACACAAAGGTTTAATACACAGCTTTTGTTTGTTGCCCTCCGTGTTGCTCCTCAAACTGCCCACCCCACCCCAAGCCCCATCTCAACTGTCAGATTTCAAATTCTAAGAAATGAATACACCAACAAGCTTGCTGTGCAGTTTTGCCTGTTGCATACATTACAATTTCGACCTACAAAAGGAAGGAAATGAGAAATCACAATACTAAATACCACATATCTTTCTACTCTTCTCTCAGGCTTACTCTGCTCTCGACAACACTACAAATACAGGAGAAAACGTGTTGCCAGTGGAAAATATATTGTGGGGATCTGGCAAGAGATGTGAGACTGGGGCAGATCCAGGTCCCACCAGCATCAAGGCTGAGCACGTACACCTGGTAGGCACACGCACACAGAGCACACGTATACACCACGCATGTATATACATACGTACACAGCGGGCAACACAGATGACAAACACAGACATGCAGAGCACTCACACAGACAGCACCAATGGCCTCATCCTTCTCTCCTCTCTGGATGAAGAGGATGGAGGCCCACTAGTGAGAGTATATAGAGATATACCCACATCTGTACAAGCTGGATCCCTCCAGCAGCTGGGATCAGACACTCAGTCTGCTCAGTAGCTGCCCATAGATCCCAGTCTCCCCAGTTGCTGGCATCTGGATGTAGAAGCCGCCAGAGACACAGGCCCACTCCAGTTGCTGGTACAGACCATCAGGCGGGCACACAGAGCTGGCCGGGATGCCCCTGGTCCTCAGCAGCCCCCTCCCCATGATGTCACCCACAGAGACAGCCCTGGCCATAATGTGTCCCGTGTCCCCAGACAGCAGCCTCCCTCGGTCCCAAAGGTGCTCTGGTGCTGGCTCATCTGGGTGGGTTTCCTGCCTGAGCACAGCGGCTAAGGCTCCTCTGGGCCAGCCCTGGGAGGGACCCAGACGGGGTGTCCCTTCCTCTGAGTCTTTAATTTGGGTTCCCACCTGCTTTTGTGCCCCTGTGCTCCTCTGGGCAGTCGCAGAGGAGCCTTTGCTGGGCTGATGGCTCCTGGGATGGGCCTGGGAGCCTTCAGGGCAGGGTATTATTTGGGGTCCCCCTCCTGCTGCTGTCTCTCTGTGCTCCTTTGTGGGTGTGCAGGTGAGTTTTTAGCACACATTCCACTGTAAGTCTACCATGTCAGCCACCCACTGCAACTCAATGCAGTTGCACTATTATGCTAAATACACAGTTTTCCAAAAGGGTATTTTGCCCAGCAGAGTGAATTGAGCAGCCATGGTGGAGAGAGTAGAGTGCTTATTGATTGAATGCAATTGAGAGTAATTTGAGGCTTCTGTAACTCTCTTTGAACCTCCTGGAAAGCTCACAGCCTTTAGCTTTTCCACTGGCTTCCGTGACCATCAAATCAGGCCATTTGTCCCATATCACAGCTCTTTGTTAATGCTGCGTATATAGTACTCAGTAAGTTAAAAATATTCTGAGAAATCTGAAAGTTAATTGAAACATTCAAAAAACCAGCAGGGGAAGGGCTGGTCATGACAACGTTGGAGCATCCACACTGGGTCAAACTGAAGGTCTATGAAACTCTCCCTGCCTGCAGTCTTGCTGCAGGGAAAAATAGGACTTCTTTTAATTCACCTTTGTGAATGATAACATTTTAAGCTAAAAGCATTCCTTTACGCAGCAGAACCACTTAGCAATGTTTGAGGTACCCTGGTAACTAAAAAAATTCTCACAAATCCAGACATTTTATTTCAATTTTAAGAGAAGGCTGATCCTGCATAAAGTTAGCATTTCATTGCAGTTTACAGAACTGACACATCAGATACAGTTTTAACAACTTTACCCAGTCAGCTGTATGAAGAAAGATTAATTTGCTTTAAAAGAGGAACAAATTCATTTTTGGTGTTATCAGATAGAAATCCCACTCCAACCCACCAGAGACTTTCTTAGCTTCAGGCCTGATCTTTTTTTTCCCCAAATTAATTGTTAGCTTCATTGCTCCTGCAACATAGGCACCAAGAGACATTACTGGTTTGCACGGTTGAGTACAATGCAAGGACTTGTAAAACTTCGAATTAGCTCTGAGTTGGCTGACATACCCACGCTGCCTGGATGTCCACAGGAGCTTACCTGCAATAATGCTATGTCAGCTACACCTGTATCTACCTATACACACAGTCCAGGCAGACAAAAATTCTTTGGAAAGAATCAAGCGAACCTGCAGCGCACAACGATACTTCTCTGTGCAAAGCCATGACCAGTCTGTGTTGTATCTCCTTGCTCTTTGATTGCATGGCATCAGAAGGAAATTTGGTTGGTATATAACTTGATGTAGACACGGGAATATGCTTGAGAGAAATTTTGTAAAATGTCACATCGCTATATTAGAGCAGTGGAAAATCATACACGGGAAAAAGAAGCACTTCCATTAGAATACATAACTCCCCCACCTCCCATCCAAACATACTGCTCCTTTAAAAACTATTTTATCAGAGAAAGAAAACAAAAGGAAGAGTCTACTATTCAGATCCATCTGTCAAGGCAGAATTCAGTCGAGGTCCCTAATAGAAATGGTGGGTTGTCGTTAGAATTCTTTGTAAACTTCCTCACAAGAAGATTTGACTGCTACTGAACAAGAAGGTAGGAACACTAAGAAAAGCAATGCACACATCTATGTTAAAAGCTGGCTGACTTAATGTGTGAACTAGCACTCTACAGTGTCTGCAGTCACTAGAATCAGCCAGGACAGAGCCAGCTGTTGGCCAGCTGTGCTTTAGCAGCATCTTATTGCAGAGAACAGAGACTTTAATGCACTGATCACCGGTCCGAATGGGGAGTGAGTGGGAACGGGGCTTGGGGTGGCAGGGGAAGCGCTGCATAAGTGGTGTGTGTTCGTGGTGCCTTGAACAGCAGGGCATCAAGCTCCCAGCACACATCTATGTGCAGCATCTCAGGACACCCAGACTGTGAGGGAAAGGACAGGGACTACATGGGTAGGACAGTATGGAGAGACTGTTCACTGTTAGCTCTAAAGGGTACAAAAGGGCTTGTCCAAACCCAGTGCGATGTGGCCAACCTAGGAAGACCCCATGAGATGTGCTGAAGACTCGATTGCCCACACTCCTTGTCTTCTGTGTCACCACAGGTAATGCTGGACACACCACCTGCACAGCAGCGTCTTGGTGGCTGAAAGCTGAACAGGCCCCCTAGAAACACACAGCTTTAGGATACCACCTACGTGTCCTATCCAGACAGATAAAATCTGAATCTTTTGTTGGGAGTTTCCTTAGAATCACAGAATCATTAAGGTTGGAAAAGACCTCTAAGGTCATCAAGCCCAACCGTCAACCCAACACCACCATGCCTGCTAAACCATGTCCTGAAGTGTCTTATCTACACATTTTTTGAACACCTCCAAGGATGGTGACTCCACCACTTCCCTGGGAAGCCTGTTACATTATGAGTCCTAGAATGGAAATTAATATTCCTCTGGAGGCGGTGATGTACTGCTGATAAGAGTACATGAGACCCTGGGTGGGCTCTGTGACAGTCCTGATGTGATCTGCATGGACCAGTGGTGGAGGGTCTTGTACTGATGTCCAGTCAAGGCTTCTGACCAACAGATAACTCTAAAGGATCATAGTACTCTTCATATATACTGAGAATCTACAGTTGAGAAAGTGTGGGTACTGCCAGTTCCTGAGACGATGGTACTGGCAAAATAGTGAAGATACTGATGTTGTGGTCATTTCTATAATAAGTTCAGCTGACGAATGCATAAATGAAGACAAATAACAATTGAGTGATGCTCTAGTTCTTTAAAATGCCTGTCTTCCATGCTATTTTACACAGCACCCTTATCAGTTGTCTCTCTATTTGTATGTAAATAACCACTGTAGTCTGACAGCGACTGAGTTCCTTTCTGCCTATATACCGGTATTTAAGCAAAGTCTAAATCTGTGAAGCTTGTACTGAGAGTCCACAGGCCTTTCTGGAACTGTTTGTAATTTTTCCAGCTATGCCTGTGCCATACTTACTTGTCGCATTTCCAGCTGAATTCAAACTGATATCCTGGACTAATTCAACTGCTAGGGAGAAGAAAAGGCAGAGGCAGCCTTGGTATCTGCTGGAGGATCATGATACACTAGAGGCAAAGTGGTTTTATAGCTTGGATGCTACCCAGCATTGCATAAAGATCAAGGATTTGAATGTGGGCTACAAGTCAATTGAGGACAGCGGCCAGAACTATGATAGCCTTCCAGGAACATGTCCATGTGATGCCAGCACAGACCCAATGGCCAAGTATCAAGAATCAAGTGACTCCTTCCATAAACAAATGCTTTGCAAGCATTTTACAGGTAGGGCTGGATACTCAGGGCTAATCTCTTAATCAACAAGCACTCTTCAGCCCCTGGGGACACCCAGGATTTCACAGGACCACAAAGTAACTGGTATTGCCTGCTGGCAGATGTGACAATATGCTGAATTTCAGTCGCACAGGGAAATAATCCAGGAAATCAGTGCACAATCAGAGCAGGTATTAGCACATTTTCTGTTCAGTACTGTTCTCATCAACAATTTAAAAAACTTCAGTAAAATATTTACTGATGTGTTCCAATCTGCAGATATCCCCCAAACCCAAAACACAGTCCAAGACACAGGGCTGCAATATGTAAGGCAGAAGTAAGCAACACATTGCACAGCACTGTTTCCGAGGCAAAAGCACTGTTAAATCTCAAGAGGTTTAACATTCATTGCAAAACAATATTCATAGCACAGCAAATGTTGAGTATGCCCCCAAGAAATATCAAATGGATACACAGAAAAAGGTTTAACCAGGCAGTAACGTGGCACAGCAAAGCTGTCTTCATCCAGAATGAGTAGCTGCTCCCTTCCAGCCACGCAGAGCATCAGGAGGTGTCGCTCTGGTAAGCAGTAACTCCACCTGCCTCCCAGTATTTCCTTCAGCCTCTGTCAACAGCCAGCATTTGCTCTTTCTTCTCTTTCTTTGTATGGATTTGGGACTCTCTCACTAATCTTGGAATGACCTGTATAAATGCAAATTTCATTCCCCACCTGGCCTTAGCAGGCCTCACTCTTTAGCATCCTCATCTTACCATAGTTCACCCTTACAATACTGCTGGTAAGGAACCTTCCTTCTGGTTTATAGCTTGATGCCCCTTCTCCAGAGTGCAGTGAAATACAGTGCTGTGGCTGCAATACCTGTCAGCAAGGAGCCAGCTCTTCAGGAGAAACAATTTATTGAGTTAAAGGCATTCTGCAAAGAACCAGAGAGCATCTGAGTAAAAAGCGTCCAGCTCGAGTGTTTTTCAAAACTGGGAAAGACTGGGGTTGGTGTCTCAACCCCATGGTGCAGTTACTATTTTGTCTGGTGTCTGTGACAATGGGTGTTAGCTACTTTCTTTTCTCATACAAGGCCAGATCCTCCAAAACACAGCTGCTTTAGGATATCTCCCAGCATCAGGAAAATGTAGGACTTTAAAAGCAAAAGAGAAGTGTTTGGTGAGATAGTGGAAATCTTCACCAAAGGAGGGAGGAATTTCTGGAGGGGATGAAGTTTCTGGGATGAGAGAAAAAGAGGGGCAGAGAAACTGAAGAGGAGGACACAGCAACTGATGCCAGCCAGGGTGTCAAAAAGGAAAAAGGAAGTGCCAGGAAAAGGGCAGATGATGACAGAGCAGAGCCAGGCTGTGACCAAGCTGCCTACACAGACGGGTGGAGCGGGGCATAGCTGCTGCGGCATGTTTGCTAGGCTGAG